CCTTTAGGTGCCTGGCGGCTGTTGCTGGCATTACACGAGATCCATGCCATCGGGTCCCCTTGACGTACACGGTTGAAAGTGGACTCCCGCGGCGGAGGCACATCGGCCACCCGGTTCGGCCTCCCGTTAGCGGTCGATGCCCTCTGTTAAGCCGGTGGATCCCCCGGTGGTATGGGGCCCTGGAGGTTGCCATGATCCATCCGAAGGGTGCGCTTATGGGGGCGTGCCTCGCGAGTTCTTAACGTTAGGGGACGCCGAAAGTAATGAGATCCATCAGAGCTACGACCATGACCATCGTGAAGTGAAAATTTTACACTCGATCCCACGCCTTCAAAGTTGCAAAGGTCTCGAATGGCCACTCGCGGCCTCGCCAAGGTAGTGGCCGCATGGACCATTGGATGGCTCACACACCATGGAACATGCAAAAGAACAAACAGAGGGAAGCCATTACTATCACATCACGAATGGTCGGGTACCGCAGGAGAGAACCCGAAGAATACAGCTGGCCACGTTGCGGCCTACCAGGAGCGCAATTGGATGTCAAGTAACAACAGCCGCACGACGATGGTGAGCTTATGACTGATGAGATCCATCGGGGCGATGACGCTAGAATGTATGGAACGTCTGAATGGAAGGCTGGAACGAGCCAAGTACGTCAGGCCAAGGCACGGGAGCAAGCGGATCTTGAAAAGTTGAGACAAGACAAACTTGAGGCTCCATCGCGGAACAGAATGGGGCTCTTCGGGTTACAGTTTACGGCGCATCACTACCTGCAATGCTGCATAGCCATGCTGTGCGGCTCCTTTGTGAGCAGCAGCTAGAGCCGCCGTGAGGTTTTGATCGACTCACCCAAATCAGGGGTGCATACGGGAAACAAGCCAATGTTGAACGGGCATGCTTGAGAACAACAGGAGACAACTGTGGGTTTGCTTGATATGGATTGTGGGTGTTAGTGACGATGGTGCAATACCACGAATATCCCGAGCAGAACATCCACTTTGAGCCGACGACAAACGAGCCGTGGATGGCCGCGGTCTACGATGGCACATGGGTGTTTGCGATGTCGACGGTCGGACAGTGTGGTTGAAGTTTTTTTTCGAGAAAATTTTTACGAGCAATTTGTTGCCTCTATTGCGCAGAGTGGAGTGCCATAAGCGCCATCTGTCCAAGGGGAAAGGACCCACGATGCGCCTTTGGATGGACAGCACTGGAGACATGCTGGAGACATCCCACGCTCCGGAACGAGAGTCCGGAAGTATTACCTAACACTCCCGTTAACCGCCCTTCCGCACATGGCCTCATCGCCAAATGTCTATGGCCAGACCCTAGCAGGCCTACGATGATGGGATTCCGCCTCCAATCGGGACGGGGAGATCCTTCGGACGACGGATGGGACAGCCTTTTTCGATTCCGGGTCATTCCCAGACTACGAAAAGGCGTCATGCACACATGGCCATGCACCCACCAGTAGGTGTAGAAACTTTGGCGGCCAAGCCCAAAGACTCTTATTGACTCACGCGCCCAGTGCGCCCTACATACCGCTGATGTGCACCGCGCCCTGCAGAGCGCCTCATGTCATTGTCGCCATTGCACTAGTAGGCTGGTGGACAGGCCATAGACAACAACGCATATCACTTGGGCATCTCCCGGTTCATTGGCAACCACCCCCAAACCACAAGAGCTGACCAAGCTCCATGATGAATAATTCCCCGTCTTCGCTACACCGGAAATCATGTTCCTCGAGGCTGAGGTGAACCAGAACACCATCTCCAGGACTGTATTGCGTCAACCCTCTTGACATTTGCTCACCAAGCTCATTGCGTGCTCACAGCCGCAAACTTACAGACCACCCAGGAATTGCCTCATGCACGCCTCCACTGACTCTTCTCTTTCCACCTGAAATTGGGAGATGGCAAAGCAGTCAGGCCTAAGCCCAGCCAACACCAAAATGTGATGCGTGCAAAACCACAAGCTTACTCGGAATACGCAAGTCTCTTTGAAACACTGGTACTTCTCACTCCGGCCATGACAAGCTCATTCCTTCGTGGGGAGCTTCGTGTATGTGTGTGTATTATTCAGCTTCCCCTCTGCTTCATCATGTAGTCGAAGGACGACATGTTCCTCTACATTGTCTACTTCTCTTTACCCCAACTTTTGACTCCCGTCGACGACGCCACATGCTTTCTCTTGCGCCCGCACTGCTACCAAAGCCGGTCAGACGGCCAGGGACTAGACGATCCGTCGACCGAGTTGTTGGAAATGGTGTTTGGGACGGTCTGTTGCCGTGAAGGCGCCGTTTTGGGTTGGGGTAGGTCATCACTCCTTTCGTCCAGCTTACTCTCTACCTCATATCCGTATTGCTGGCTGCATTGTATCCAGAGGTAAGCGTAACCAGATTATGGTGACGGGTGGTTTCACATCACTTTTGGCTGAAGAAATCCTCCTCATCTGGTAGTGGCAGAGCGTCTTGCTCTGTCTATTATCTCTATATATTCTACATGGCGTATTCGCCTTTTTCAGTAAAGGTGCATCTAACATGGACATGTTTACGTGTGCACGGGGCAGAATTCAAGCACCATTGAATGGGTGCATTGTCTAGTCATGCCACGAAATGTACAGCATGATACCGGCGCCGACAGCAATGGCGGCGAACTGAACGAGGGTCTTGCGCAGCTCGGCCATCTTGTTCGGGCCCGTCTCGAGCAGCTCGGGGATAACGGCGACGGTACCGACGTAGAGGAAGGTACCCGCGGTGAAGGGCAGAAGCAAATCGCCCCAAGTCTATCAGGTCCATCGTCAGCAACTTGTGATTCGTCACGCCAAACTTGCGTTGGCGGCACGAGAGAAAAAGAGTGCAGGTTTTTAACTCACCAAGCTGGTACCCCAGAGCCCCGCGTTACGCGGCATACCGCCCTCGCCGGAGCCGGAGCTGCTGCCGCCGAGCTCCTGGACGGCGATGCCGATGAGGGTGCCGAGAAGGGCGCCGAGGGCCGTGACGAATTGGGCGCCCATGGCGGCGCGCTTGCTGAAGCCGGATTGCACGAGCAGGGCAAAGTCGCCGACCTCGTGGGGGATCTCGTGGAAGAAGACGGCTACGGTGGTGGTTGCGCCGATGGTCGGGGAGGCGTAGAAGCTGGCGGACATGGCGAGGCCGTCTGTGATGTTGTGCGTGAAGTCGGCGCTGCGGGATGTAAGTCAGTACAGTCATGAGTAGAATCGCGCCCGGAGGCCGAGTGGAAGACTGGGTGAGGGGAAGTCGTACATCAGGTTCAGGTAGCCTCCGAGTCTCACGCTGGGGTTCATCTCCTTCTCCGGCTTGTCCACGGCACCGTCGGCTCCAGATCCGGAGTCGGTCCCGGCCTTCTTGCGCGAGGTGACTTTGCCCGCCTTCTCCACAGCAGACGACACGCCCTCGGCCTTGGCCTCCCCGTGCTCCTGCGCATGCGAGTGTCCACCGTGATCGTGCGAATGCCCCTCCCCGCCCGTAGCGATGCGCAGTCCCTTATCCATGGCCACGAACGTCATGAAACCGACGAGGATCGCGACGCCGAGCAGCAGATTGCGGTTCGGTTCGACGAGCACGAGGCGCGCGCGCTCGGGCTCGTCCTCGCCGAGGAAGATCTCGGGGAGCAGGTGGAACAAGGTGTCGCCCATGAGCCCTCCGACGGCGAAGGCGACCATGACGGAGAGAGAGGAGGGGTCAATGTCGGTCGGGCAGAGGGCGAGGAGGAAGTTGGGGGGCCCGGAGATGTAGAGGGTCGCCAGGAGGGCGTTTACGGCGGGGGAGCCGGGGAAGAGGGTTCCGAAGGCGCGAGAGAGGAGGGAGGGGGTTTCGGAGAGGGAGGCGAGTTTGGAGGAGGTTAGGGATTGGACTATCGAGCATTGCTGGGATGGTATCGTCAGTTGCGAAGCTCTAGGCTGATGATTTTTGGTGCTCTGAGCTCTCCCGTGCGTCCAATCGGGTTTGCTTCATATTCTTCTCCTCCTCGCACTTACCTGCAGCTGCTCGTCAATCTCCTCGAGGCTGAGTGATGCCACGGGCTTGCTCGTGAGACCAATTTTCTCGGCGACGGTGGAGGCGAGGCCGAGCTGCACCATGAGGAGGAGAGCCCAGAAGGCTGGCTTCCAGGAACGAGCCATTGTCGCTACAGTTGCTTGTCAAGTTCGGTATTTGACTTTGAGCTTATCTCTCCGTTCTCCGACGTGTTGTATGTTCGATTTTCCCGAGGTTGAACGATTGTCGAGGCGGGGATGGATGGGTGTGGAAGAAAAACGAGTGGAAGCTCTCGATTGCACGACGAGGAATTGTCGAGAGAAGCGAAGAAAGCTGTGGCGGTGATCCTAACACTTGTTGAGATCTTTCTCGCGTTTACTCCAATTTCCGCATAGTGCAGAAAGCCCCCCTCTCCTCCCTGGATAAGCTGTCATCTCATTCCCTCTTCCAAACCTTGGCGAGCACGTCCGCTGCCGCTGCCGCTGCCGCTGCAGTGCCGGCCGAGGGAGACGCTGTAATTCCGACCATTTTCGGCCGATGACGGTGCGAGCTGTGCCTTTCCAGGTCGCTGGAGCCTGGAGGAGCTGCTGAGAGGGTCGCGTGCCGCTGATTGTGAGGGTGCTGCTCAATGGAGGGGGTAATGCGAGCTGTGTGCAAGCTGAGAAGCATAAAAAGGCCGCTAGGCCATTTTCGGGACTTGTTGTGCAAGTCTTGCGTCCGATGTTGGAATTGGCAGGATAACTCATTCATACGACTTGCCCAATAACCGATATGGGTTGGAAGTTTGGTCCAAGAACACGGATTAAAGTTGCCAAAGACATTTGGAAACAGAATGTGCAGAAGGAAGGGGGGTCTCGAAGCATTTATTCAATTTTCTCGACCTCCTTCCTGCTTGGACCCTTAAGGTACAAAAATTGAGACTAAAGCTCTTGGTACTGGGAAAGAGCTGGGGGCTCCCGAGGGTTTCGAGTACCCGGACGGGTCGGTTGGTCGTTTCCACTTTCCATCACCACCACTTGCCGCGTAAACGACATTCCCTCTTCAGCTTCGTGGGAAAGAGAGAGCAAATGCAGGACTCTGTTTGGCCCAATGCTGCTGCGGAATGTTTTGAGCACTGACAGAAGATGGGTAATGCTTGGGAAGTGACGGGTCCTGATTTGCTGGGAAGGTTGCATCTGGCTCTTCGGGATGTGGGAGTAGAAGCGGGTGTCAGTGTCACCGAGCTTTTTGGCTGAGTTCTGACGTCGCTCCGTGAATCAGGTATGGTACGCTCCTTGAAGCTCTGTTGATAGTGTGTTTTGCCCTCAATTGATCTCGATGAGTCTGGTAAAGCATCCCCGTTGAAATTTTGGGAACGGTGCAAGAGAACGAGGGCACATTGGCTACGTCCGTGTCCATGCTGCCTCTTCACTCTCGTTCAAAGTGCCAAAACTCCCGTGTGCCATGCTGTATCTTCAAGAAATCGCATACGTGTAGCACACATTTGTTCAACTGCATGGATATCAACAACATTGAAATCCAATAGCATTATCCATGGTCTGTCTCCCGCTAGAACCGGCCCAGATTTCACGGGGGACCAGGATCTCGGACCGGCACCTTCACCAAGAGGACACCGAGCGACCAATGATCTTGCGCTAGTGACTCATCGTTTGAAGCTCCAGGAACTCCAGCAAAGCCTTTGACCATCAGGCCTTCTGCTTTTCTTTGCGACTTCGACCTCATGGCTCTGTTGTCCTGGTGGGTGGCTTCACTAAAAATTATCAACGATCTACTTCTCTGGTGCCGTGAAACCCCACACATCGCGATCTAGGAGCTATTCGTGACCAGTATGAACATTAACGGCAAACATCACAGTTAGGATGATTGCCGTTCGTGCTCCTATTAACCACGAACAATGTCTCGGATGGATCCTCGCTCGATGCTGGCGAGACACCCCGTGTATAGCCAAGTAGACTGTCCAACAGAAGTAAAGCCGTCTTATTCTCTACACCAAATTGAACTGCTGCAAATAAGATGTTCGTCTAGCAGTCGCGTTTCGATTCGTAAGAATTGCCGTCTTCAGCCCACACGCCTAGGCACCGGGACGCACATTTCTATGCCGTGCCATATCTCGTGGAATAGGAGAGATTGCTCAGATACTTGGTGACCGATGGTTTGAACATCCTCACCAAGATGGTTTTCTCAATGGATGGGCCCTTCAGGGGTGATTATGCGACCGTTGATGACAAGAAACTGTAGTTACCAAGGTTCGATGACAACGACGAAATCCGGCCAAACGGGTGCCCAACTCTTTTCGGAGATAATATTCTTGAGACCCATAATCAGGCGTCAAGCAGCCAGAATGTGTCAAGTCCATGTGTTCTTGTAAGTCTACCTTATTGAGCAGTTGTAGTCTTTCTCCGGCTTTGTCGGCTATAAAAGATCCAACCCACTGTCTCATCACCCTGCTTCTACTCGTTCATCTTGTCCTCGTCGCCCCATCTTTCGATCACCCCATCTTCCAAATACACAACAATCATCAAACACATCGCCTCCTCATTCTTTTACTCGCAAAGTGTAGTCATATCGCATACAAAATGTACATATACAACGTTTTCGACGCAATAGAGAGTGCCATCGATGCATACGACGGCAAACTGTCAGACTACTACTTCCTCAACCAATGCATGCGTATCATTTGCGAGCTATACGGGATGGTTCTCCTCGGCATCATGGACTATTTCCTCGTGCTTCTCGTGCTCCGGTTCGACGCCGAGGAGCAGCCGTGGCGCACACTCGGCCACGACCCCTACGGATTCATCTGGTCCAAGTACACCAAGGTCTACGATGTCGGCAGTGTTGAAGATTTCGGCACGCAACAGGCTGGCAACAACGGAACTTTCCAAGGCTTGGATCTTCTGAACGCCACAACGCCTGGTCAAGAACTTGACTATAGGCTGGTCCTGCGCAGATACGGCAAGGGGTGTTGTGGAGGTATCCTTGGGCTGTATGATGGGTGGAAAATCTTTGGATTCTTCCTACACTATGCCATACATGATTTCCGCGCTCTAGCCGGTACGAGATCCGCTCTAAGAGAAAGCGGCATTGACGACTCGGAAACCGCCTTGGAGCATTGCATCATATGGGCTTTGTCGCTTGTTCCCATGTTCTTCAGTGGGCAGTCTTACTACGATAATCCAGTGCAATCAATAGTTTGGCTGATCCTGCTGGAATGTATCATACAGGCGTTCGTCGTGTTAGCTCGCACGCGATTGGAAGAGGAAGAAGAGGACGAATGGTAAAACAATAAGGGCAACGAGAGCCCTCTGATGGAGGGAGATTATGCGAGGGATGAAAGGGAATGATAAAGGGGCTATATCACCAACACTACAGGGAAAGGGGCTGAAGAAGAAAACGAAGTACTTCATTCGCTTGTGACTTGCGGCTGTTCTGCACTCACAACTTCTGGGGAAGACCGAAGGGTTACGAAGATTTCATGCGGATCAAAGTAATAACAAGATCAAATAACGTTATGATGAATGAGAAGCTTCTTCTAGTTTGTGTGATAAAGTCCCTGCTTCCATAAATTGGGATCGCGTGCATGGCCTATCAGCGATATTCGTCGATATGATAGCCATTGCCGAGACGTCACTGCCCAGATGAAGATAGGGATGCTGTTGCTGGGGTCGACGAGAGGGAAGGTACTGTATACGTTTCATTCACAATGATGAGGCTCGGCACGAATGCCAGCTGAATCGTGTCGAATACGAGGAGCTGGGAAAGAGGAGTCAACATGATGCAAATCGCAGTTGTCGCAGACGTCTGCGGACTGTGGAAGTAGCAGTCGTCTCCAGATGATCATAGCCAGAGGTTTAGGCAACTACCATGCTTTCGTTATATGCATCCGGCAGGAATGTGCAGATATTGAGCAAGAATACATACCTTTCGATGAGTCCTTGCCGAATGTTTGCTCCATCAGGCATGTTGAGAAGAAGTTGCGGAAGAGATGACATGGTCAGTCACTGCCTCCAACGGCTACATATGTGCAATTTCCGCATCGAAACAGCAGGACTCAGCAGCAGTGCCAGCCAGATTGCATTACTTCCAAATATTGGAAGCAGGAAATGGCATCCCTGGGTCTCAAAGTTGGAAGGTCTGATTCTGTTCCACGAAGTCCTTGACTAGTATATCTACCCATCCTCTCCCCCCCTCTCTTCTCTTCTCTTCTTCTTCTTTTCTTCTCCAGGGAGGTCGTCTATCATTCACTACCGAATACAACAAGCGAGCCGCATAGCGATACACACTTACACCTATACTTACAACATGGACCCCCTTTACGTCATCCTCGCGGTACCGGTCGCGGTCGCCTTCTGTTTTCTCGTCATACTTCGAAAATCCCTCCGACGTGGCTGGACAAGACTCCGCCCCCAAGTCAACGAATGGGCAAGTCTGGCCATGGTCGCGCTTCTGGAGGCCTTCAAGAAGGGCATTAAGGACGCCCTGAAGGAGGTCTTCAAGGGGATTATCTTGACAATTCTACGAGAAATGACGGGCTTTCCGAAGCCTTGTGCCGCTCAGGGCGGTGCAGGTGGACGCTGCCCTGATGAACCCTTCGTGGTTCACAGAAGGTGTCTTACCCGACGGTACCTTCATCCGACAATCTCCGACGCCCCGGTCCTTGGGCTCCAGCGGGGGACCTTACAAATTATGTGCTCTCTCGGGAGCTTTCTTGACGACATGTTTTCTTACGACATCTTACATCACGGCATCTTACAACACGGCATCTTGCTTGACGACATCTTGCTTCACGACATCTTGCTTCACGACATCCTCCACATTGGCATCTTGTATGACAGCCTCTTCCATCATGGATCTCTTACCGTATGTCCTCCCATCACGGCATCTTCTAGGACGACGTCTTTGGTCAAGACATCGCCTGCCACGGTTATCCCCCTATCACGAATTGTCCCATCACTGCATTTTCCCGGCATCTTGTAAATTATCATCTCTCAGCCTGGATCCCCTATCACGCCGTCTCTCAAAGAAGCATTCTTCGTCATGGCTGTCTCTTATCGAAACACACTCAACACGGCATCTCGCACAACAGCATCTTCCATCATGGGTCTTCCATCACGACGTTTTCTCTCACAACATCTGTCGTCATTGCCGTCTCCTATCATGACGCTTCCTGTCATAACATCTCACGACATGATGTCTTCTACCAAGACGTCTACACTGGCTTTTCTCATGTCATCGGCCCATGTGTCGTGACGAAGTCATTGTACTCTATTCGGCTTGTCCAAGGTCATTGCCAAAGCTATCCGTCATGACTTCGACCCACGAGCCTGTCTTTCACCAGATGACCGACTGATCACTTCATCTCAACAACTTCCTTGTCAAGAGTCTGAACACGAAGATTTGTCATCTATGGGACGCTGTAGGATGACTATCCTTACTGGCTGTCGTGGTGTCGGTCCCTCCCGGACTGTCTCCAGAGAGCCTGCCAACATCAGGATCATCGTCGAATGCCCCTGGCCAGACTGGACTTCGGGACGAGAAGCCGTCTCTTCATCCGTGCTCTTGAAGTCCAAGTCTGAGGATGGCTATCTGCAAGCTGGCAAACTAAGACAGTGGTATGGCTTCCTTACCTTTGCTCTTGATTACCTGAATACACAGCTAACGTCTTCTGCAGGTTCTGTCCCTCTCAGATTGTGTCTGTTTTCCAGTATGGCTCAGTTCATGTTGGGTGAAGCTGTTCTTCGTAGCTGGTGCTGGTGGTTCGGGTCACATGCTCTACGGGTAGGTCAAGTTCTTGAGTCTCTCTGTTCGACACAGCTGACATAAATTTGAGGCTCTGGAAGTCTTGGCCAATCAGGTGACGCATACTGCTGGACCTGTGTCGAAGGTGTTGATGCCGCCACTGTCTCCTTCACCATGGGTTGCTTCTCTTTGACTATTCGTCATTGCAGTACAATCAACCATGAGCAGGTGGGGCGCGCCAGAAAGCACATGGGGGTGTGTCAGTGCGTGTGACAGCCGCTGGAAGGAGCATCAAAAGGTGGTCAGAGCTTCCCAAGTCGCTGGTTCCCTCTGCCAAGTCTTGCACCTCCTCCTCCAAGCACCTGGAACCCCGCCATGCCCGCCTCTTTTGCAGCATCCAAGGTGGCTGTGCAAGCAATCGACACTTCAACCCCTCTCACTGAACAATCAAACTTCAAGTGACGAATCCACTGAAGAGAGAATGGATGGGGGGCGAAAAAGGGGTCCGTCACTTGTCGTCGAGTTTCCCATCAAACAAGGTGTCGTTGGGTGCAAGGGCTGGGAACACCTTGAACGTCAACAGTGGCCAATGACGTCGCTCGCCGCCCAGAGGCCTCTCGGGCACGCACCAGCGCCATCACCAAGCTAAAGCACGGCGCACCACCACCAACAGCTGCTTTAAGCGCCATGCAAGCTGTTTCGACGCACCCACAATCCAACCATATTCGCCCTCACTACACCCCTGGTCCTTGAATAGACAGAACCCGGCTCGTCGTCACAAAGTCTTAGAGCACCATCCGAAGTGCCACTCACCTTTACCGTTCCTTGCGATTCCTGCTGAGAGGTTTCCTGCTGGCGAATAGCTATTGCAGTTCCCCTACACAGTCGTCACTTTGTCTGATCGCTGGCGTCCACCTAGTGTACCAACCAGACCTTTTATCCTCCGGACCGCAACTCGCTTCAACAACTTCCCGAGCAGACGCTCTCTCCCACTTGCAAACCGAGCCCCTTAGACTTTCTGGACCCCGCGGTCTCTCACCAAAGTTCTCCACGACATTTACGCGCCAGTCGCATCTCGAGACACCACCACCCAAGAGCAACCACCTTGTACGAGGCCTGACCTGACGTAACCAAGACCTCAACTTTCTGCGCCTGTTTTGCGCACCCATCTTCATCATGGCTTCGGGACACAACGTATGCCCTCCAAGACGGAAACAATATGGCGACCGCCCTCACTGACCTTGAGACCAGGACCCCAAGCTTCTGTACGCCATCAATGGCGTCCAAGCCTTCCATATCTCCAATGGCAAGGAGGAGTCGCTCACACCCGCCGGGCCCCAGACCTTGTCGCTGTTGATGGTACCGACTTCTTCGCCCTTCACCGACGCAGACTCCCCCGCCGAAGACTTCTACCTGCACCTCCATCTACCTCCCGAGCTCGATCTTCCTCTTCCTGCGACAACACAGATCTACCACCAGCCGCCAACTAGCTACCTGATTCCAAGATGGGATCTGGGCCCAGACAGTGGCGCTTTCACACGTATCGAGTTCCCAGACACTGGTAGCCGGAAAGGACTGCAGGAGGACGTCGACACCTTCGAAACGATCCTTGCGCAATGCACTGCATTCCTCGAGCGAGCCCCGCCGCCAAAGACCTCATCCAAATCGGCCAAAGCCGCCGCCACAGCCTCCGCATACCCCTATGATGACCCCGTCACCGATCGTCCCTCTGCCAAGTCCAGAGCTGCCGCCGCCGATGGCCTCCCCGCCTACAACCCGGCCGACTACCAGCCCGGACAGGGCTATGCCCCGGGAGCCCACAGCTCCCAGCACAATGGCGGCCGGATTGTCCTGATCGACGAAGAAGACGGAAGCGTCATTGGGGAGCTGACTGAGAACTACCAAGTTGTAGAGGAGCTGGGCGTCAAGCCTGGAACAAAAGGTAAGTTTGGCGGCACCTCGGCCGAGCTTGACTCACATGGCATGCTAGATCCGGTGGAGATTACACTCCCTGCCGACAACAGCCAAGCCATTACTGTTCAGCCCGTGTCGCAGGAGTACCGCGAGATGATTATGCACCCATCGTACAAGAAGTCGTTCTTGGTGTCGAATGCTTCAAAAGCGTCTCGACTCATTGTGACATCGTCGGACTTGATCACAAAGGGTTTGCAGTCCTCGGCCGACAACTTTACAAAGAAGACGAAGGCGACGACCGAACCCGTGACGTTCACTCCTGCCGCGCACGACCGTGTACGACGCATCAACCAGTTTTCCACCAAGGCGGCTGGTCTGTCGGCGACCACGGTTGGAGCGGTGGGCAAAGTTGCCCAAAACCTGGGCGCCACCCTGGCTAGAAAGAAGGATGGCAGTGGAAGAGGATACGATAAGGATGGCAACCCAATTGAGGGTTACAAGCCTGGCCTGCTGAACAGGAGCTTGATGGCGTTCAACACTGTTGCGGACGGCATCGATCAAGCAGGACGTAATCTGTTGACTGGCACCTCTTCCAGCGTGTCACAGATGGTGGAGCACCGTTGGGGTGCTGAAGCTGGCCAAGTATCCAGGAACATTGGCGGCGGCTTCAAGAACGTTGGGTTGGTGTACATTGATGTGACTGGTGTATCCCGCAGAGCAATCTTGAAGAGCGTAGCAAAGGGTATGGTCGTCGGTAAGGTAAAGGGTGGTGGACAGATCATCGTCGGAGGCGGCGATGGCGGAGCAGTGGGTTATCTGGAAGACCAGAAAACTCGCAAAGACGACCAGAGCGATACGGCCAGCATGTACACGGCGTATGAGGGCAATGGCAAGCAGCCAGCTGGCAAGAGGCCGTGAGTGTGTATTGGAGGATAATTGTTCTGAGTGAAATAGATGGGACCCTTGGACGTTTAAGAGGTACTGAGTTCAGTGTGAAAGACTTGGAACGAAGAGGGATGGATGGTGGGCCACTATGCAGTTTTGTCCAGGCAGTGCGTATTCAATACGAGTAAACGAAACCTAGGTAGCCCAATCAAAGAAACCACAAGCCACTACCCCTTAGAGTCCGCTGGCCGCATTTGTAAGGCTAGAGAATTCACAATGTAGGTGAAGAGTGTTCGTTCGGGATAAGCCTTGGACGGGTAAGACGGAGTACACATCCAGGTGTCGGTGTGCCGGAAGCCGTCGGCGATTACCTAATCTTGGACGAATGGTCACGTGGATCCGCAAACGCCTTGCCGGGTCTGATTGTCTCAGTGTAGCCACTTTAGCCCGTCCGGTCGCGTCAGATCGCGCTTTCCTCCCGGCGCCCACTTCCATCAATGCGACTACTGTGATATTGGAAGGGATCAGGCCCTCAGCATGGAGCCTTCTTGACACCGGGGTGCTGTTCTGTTGTGGCTCGCGCTCTCCTGTTCCCGTTCGAGAGAAAGACAGAGAGATTGGATATCCTTTGGGGTTCGTGCCACGATGCCTTAGTTCTATGCAGCCCAAACACATCAGGTAATTTATCCATTTGCCAACCATCCGTCACCTGTTGTTGCAACGCAGCCCAACTCTCCCCGTCTTTTGCTTCCTCCCGCCAACCTGCCCCGCCATCCCGCCAAATCCTGGACGACATCCACCCGGCGGTTTTCCTCTCCGCCGTATGACCAACCTCCACTCACCGAGAAACGAGTAAATGTGTCGCTTCGAGCTACTAGGCGCTTTCATCTTGCTTCTCCGTGACTTTGGCGAAAAGTCAAGGTCCAAGAAGCCGCCGCAACCACGCGAAATGTGCCACATCCTCCTCCTCCGTCCCCTTCTTTGAACCCATGATCGAATCCCTGTCTATAACCTAATCCCCGACTAACACCTCGATTCTCTCCCCTCACTAGAAGCAAACAGCCGGCATGCTCCACGAAGTCCTCCTCGCCCTCTCTGGGCACCCCTCCCCTCTCCTCCGAACCGACAACACAGATCCCAATGCGCTATCAACGGCAATCTCACCACCGGAGCGCGAACTCCTAGCCACCGCCGCCCACCTGAGCGACCTCCATGTCAAACTGCAGAGCTACACCGCCCCCATCGCCGCCGAGCACCCATCTACGATATGCCGCGCCACCGCCACCGCGATACAGTCCGTCCACCTAGCCGCTTTCCAGCGCAAGGTCCTCGATGTCGAGGAGACGATACTGCGCAAGGACTCGAGTCTTGTCGGCGCCTACAACATTGTGCCATTGACCGCCGTTGTGGGGGAGTTTTCCGAGTGGACGAGACGTATG